GGCTGTCAACCAGTACCCCCAGGTCTTTTTCCGCCAGGCAGCTTTCCAACCACTCTTCCCCAAGCCTGTAGCGCTGCATGGGGTTGTTGTGACCAAAGTGCAGGACCCGGCACCTCAGCCCATCGATCCAGCCTGTCCAGGTCTCTCTGCAGAGCCCCCCTCCCCTTGAGCAGATCGACACTACCACCCAGTTTGATGTCATCTGCAAATTTACTGAGGGTGCACTCGATCCCCTCATCCAGGTCATTGATAAAGATATTAAACAAGACCGGGTTATTAAACAAGACTCTTTGTTCATATTACCCGGTCCATTTTAGTGTACAGCTGTATTATTTTACGAAGGAAGAAACAGTAGCTATATTTTAAGATCACAGAATCACAGAATTATGATGGTTGGAAGAGATCTCTTGATCATCTCACACAACCTCCCCTGCTCAAGCAGGCTCAGCTAGAGCAGGTTGTCCAGGACTGTGTCCAGTTGGGTTTTGAATATCCTCAGAGATGGAGACTGCACCACAACCTCTCTGGACAACCTGTGCCAGTGTTTGATCACACTCACAGTAAAAAAATCTACCTCTGCTCAGGTGGAATTTCATGTTTCTTAGTCTGTGCCCATTGCCTCTTGTCCTGTCACTGGGCACCACTGAGAAGAGTTTGGCTCCATTTTCTTTACACTCTTCCATCAGATATTTATACATGTTGATAAGATGCCCCATGAGCTGCCCTTTCTCCAGACTGAATAGTCCTAGCTCTCTCAGCCTTTCTTTGTATAAAAGATGCTCCAAGCCCTTAATCATCTTTGTGGCCCTTTGCTGGATTCACTCCAGTATGTCCATGTCTTCCCTGTACTGGTGAGCCAGCGCTCTAGCTAGACCTCTAGACTAGTGCCCTCCCTCCATCTGTTGGCAACACTGCTAATGCAGTCCAAGATTCCTTCTTTGCCATGAGGTTGCATTGCTGGCTCTTAATCAGCTTGTTGTCCACGAGGACCCCCCAGGTCCTCCTCCACAGGGCTCCTTTTTAGCTGATCAGCCCCAGTGTGTACTGGTGCACAGGTTATTCCTTTCCAGATGGGGAACTGAGGATTTCCCTTTGAACTTTGTGAGATTCTTCTCTGCCCAATTTCCCAGCCTGTCGACGTCCCTCTGAATGACAGCACAACCATCTGGTAGATCAACCACTCCTGATAGTTTTTATTACCTCTAAACTTGCTGAGGGTGCCTTCTGTCCCAGTGTGAAGGTCATTTAAGAAGATGTTAAATAGTCTTGGCCACAGTATCAATTCCTGAGATAGACCGCTAGCAACCGGCTGCCACTGGTGCCGCTGATCATCACTCTCTGGGCCTGGTAGTTCAACCAGTTTTCAATCCACCTTACTGTCCAAATGCATACCACAGGACAGGGTTTGTGTAAAATTATTTAAATTGTGTGGATTGGCTTTTGTAAGAGAAAACGGTTGCTGTATGTTTCCATGTTGTGGTAGTAGTTGAAAGACATTTTAGTCAAGAGTTTTACCAACAGATTCTATCTTCAGAAATTTACAGTGAAAGGTTGTGCAGGTTTTTTTCTGATAGTAAGATAACTTTCTTAACATGTTTATGTAATCACAAAGAATAGCAAGTTTTGTTTGACTCAGGGTGTGCTGTTTCACTGCATGTAATGCCATTCTTTTCTTGCTTTTCTACTATTTTTTCAGTCCAGTGTCAACTCTTTGGGTTTTTTGGTTGTTTTTTTTTTTTTTGGAAGGTGTTCACTGTGAACATACTGTTAACATGTTATGACATGACATAATCGTAATCAAGACGGAACAAGAATTAATAAATCCACTGATACAAAAAGGATGTACTTTAAAGTAGGAAAGAATTTAAAATATGACAACCACACTATTGTTTTGTGTGCACCTCTGCTATGCCTGAAGAAGGCTGAAAGTTCATTCCTAGCATGTCTCATTGCTGGCAGAATTTTACATGTGGCTGTGTAGAAATCTGTTGGTGTTTTGGAGTGATGAGATAAATGTGACACTGCATAACAGCCTCTTCAGAAAGTCTGTCTGAGGGGTTGTGATAGTCCTTTATACCGAAGAAGTTTGGGTATTTTCACATTGTACAGTTGATTTTTATGGCCAGTGTCCTTTGGGCCAGGGGTCTGGCATTCCAGTCTACTACTGAGTCCTTGACCCTGCCAGGGAGGTGAGGAAGGCAATCTCCCCTCCTCATGTCTGCCTTTCCAGCTGTGAAATAGGAGCTGACTGCTATGGGCAGTGCTTCCAGACTTCATTAATGTGTGCTAAACCACCTTGAGGTCCTCAGAAGGAAGGCGCTATGAAGTGTTCAGTTATTCTGTTTATGAAAATGTTTGTGGCAAAGGATTTTAAAACTTTTTCTGAATAATATTTCTTGGCTAATGCTTGCTCTACCCTTTCCTCTCCCTCCTTCAGCTCATTTCCCCCACTCCAAAATGAGCAGAGCTTGAAATATGAGGCTAAAAATTATGCTGACTTTTTCTCAAAAAACCAAACAAATAAACCAAACAAAAAAATCAACCCCAAAACCAAACCCACCCCACCCCACAGTTTTTCGTTTTAGAATCCCTCTTCTTGGTTGTCACAAAACCTCTATGCTACAACAGTATTGATAATTCACACGTACTTTTCTTCTTGGAACACATTAACATATTTATTAAATCTGATCCTACTAGGTTGTGCCCTGGCTTATTTACACTGCAGTAGTGGTGGCAGTCTTTCATTTTGAGTTGTGCAGTGTAAATTGGTTATAAGCATAAAGAAAATGAAATTGCTTTAGGAATAAACTTTATTTGGGAAAGAAATTTGCTCTAGATATATACAAGTGGTAGCATAAGATGAAGTTCAGCAAAGAATTTCTTCAGAAAACAAAGGAAGATGTACCCCAAGTATTACCTTTCTCTTTTCCTTTTTAAAAAAAAAGTATACATTTTTTTGGTTAACTGTAGATTGAAGTCCCTAGCATGCTAAAATAATGGGCGTTCATTTCATTGATTCTTGAATCATGTTAACTTCAGGCTTCCTAAGTTCTGCTCTTTGTTTGCAATGTCAAGACTGTGATGAGAAGTCAAAGATACCGAAAATATCTTAGCCAAGAAAATGAACTACTAGCACATCACCACAGTTATGTAGTACCCAGTTTACTTTATGAACTATTACTATTAACAGTCTGAATGTTCTTACTTGATCACTTTGATTAATGCAGGATAGTACTGGAATGAAGTTGTGGAAGAAACGGTGGTTTGTGCTGTCAGATCTGTGCCTCTTCTACTACAGAGGTAAGTTCCACTCAGGAAAGCTTCGTTTGCAAGTTTTATTGGAAGCAGATAAATTTTGGCACACCACACAAATGTAAGAAAAATGAAGCTGCTACTTAACTTAATACATAAAATAGTTGTATAGCTGTCAGTATCCCAGCCTCCTGCTTTTATCTTGCCACCACCACCACCTTCTTTCTTATTCACCAATTTCACGTAATTGCCTCCTGCCTGTCAGGTATGCTCAAAGAGCAAACCTCTTCTGCCACAGCCACCTCTTTTATTAAATTCTGGATTGTGGTTTTCTCACAGCTTCTGTTGTTAGGAACTAAATATGCCAGGTTAAATCTGATTTTTCATGCAAATGAAGTAACTGAAATGGGGATAGGAAAGGGATAGTGCAGGGGAGCTGAAGCTCTGCCTTTGGAATGATAAAGAGGATATGTATGCGTTTTGGGAATCTAATCAGTGTTCATGAATACTTAGAAAGTGAAACGTTGTCCAGTTCCATATGAATAGAAGTCCCTGCTGTATTTGGAACAAAGAAATCTGTTAGTACCCTTATGTAGCTACATGAGAGTTATTTTACACGGGAAAATTAGCTGCTTATAATTCTAGTGTGGAGATATGTATCTTAGAAAACAGATTCCTTCACCATTACAGATTACTAACTGTAGTGCTCCTGAGGGGATAAACAAATGGGATTTGTGCATATGGAAACATATTCCATCCTGAAATAAAGTGTACAATCATAATAGTTTAGAGGAGCTTAAGAACAAAGAAGATTATAAAGCATGGCAAAACAGTGGAAAATTAACAGTTAGGGCCATCTGCAGCCTTGTGAAGGGTAAGAAATGGTTTCAGTTTAGGATAAGACTTAAGAATTGGTAAAGTGGTGTTGGTGCTGTGATGCTGAAAGCAGGGACTGATGAATTTAAAATGCTGTTCTGTTAAAGTGCAGCATGGTTCTTTCTAATCAAGACAAATCAGGTCATGAAATGCAAAAGTTTTGTCTTTGTAACTGTTTCAGTTAACAAATTCTGAATTGTTGAAATATAATCATGAGGCTTTGTTTCTTTACCCCAAGAAGTACGGGTAGTTGGATAAACCACTGCTGAGTCAAAATTAGGTTATAATTTCAGTCACGGAGGTATCAATTGTGATACAATTACACTGCATTTAGTTAAGTGGTCATTATATACTCTGTGCTTTCTTGTAGGGGTTTTTTATTTTAAACATGTCTTCAGGATTTCTCTTCCAAAGGTTCTAAAGAAAGTGCTGCTTTGTAGCTGCCTTAAGAACAGATTATATTGACTTGAAGTGCATGAAGTATCTCAAAATAAAACAAAAAAAGCTATAAGTAAAACCAATAATGAATAAAATAAATCCAAAGAGCTCTATAATCTTTTCTTTCATTTTTACATGCTAGTGTGCCAAATCAACTGAAATACAAGCAGAATAGTCTGAATTGTTTACATGATAAACTTAGCTTTTAGCTATTGTTCACTTACTAGAAGGCAGTTAAAGCTGGTAAACTGTAATTAAACATGTATAGTGATAGTCTTAAAGGTATTAGAAATGGCTACTGAAATATTAAAAACTTGTACTCTTAGCCCTGTGCTTTTACAGTTTTGTTAATTCTGTCTAAGATACTGAAAAAATTGAACAGAGGGAGCCATGCACTTACTCCCAGATCACAAACTGTGGTTATGCGATGGTGGTTGCTGGGGGTTTTTTGGTTTGATTTGGTTTTGTTAGTAAATCTTACTGAACTTCTACAGTTGTGTTACAATGGTAGCAGCTAACTCTTACATCTAATTTATAGCCTAAAAGAAAAATCATTTCATTGTATTTTTTCAGAGCATAGAGAAAACTCTTTTTCCATTTAATGGAGGGATAAAAGACTGCCCACTTTCATATCAGAAGGTTATTGTTGCAACAAATAAAAGATCTTAGAGCTGGACAGAATATCTGCTATTTTTCTCTTGTGTTATCCTTACACAGCATACAAGTAAAGATGGGCATGGGGCAGTGTATTGTATAGATAAAAGATAGTCTGATGGGAAACAGATCTTTAAAATCTGGAAATGGAATGTAGCAGTATGTCTTTTACAAAGACCAAAGTGCTCCAGACATGCAGCTGTTGAGGGGAACAAAAATGCTTAATGCTTTTATATGGCACTAGTGGGTGTGACTTACTCGGTCATAAGTCAGAGTATAGTCTAGGAGAAGGGAATTTTTCCCAAAAATAGCAGTCCAAATGAAGTAAACCCCAACATTTGCCATGCATTCTGGGACAGGGGAAAAAAGGTAGGATTTTGTGTGTGTGTGTGTGGCTAGCAAGGAGTAAATATTTGAGAGGGGGAGACGGGATGGTTTCAGACGTACTTATGAGTACTGTTGAGTACCTGAAAGTCAATCTACTCCATTTCTTTTCTACCATTTAATTGGAATAATTTTATGCTCAGTTCTCCAATTAAATAACTATCCAGGAAAGCATAATTTTTACATTTAACATGTTCTGTAATGCTAATATTGCTGGGCAGAGCTTTCCCCATATGAATAACTTAAATTTAACTTGTGGCTTTTCAGAATTTAGTGAGTAAACGAGAATCGGGAAAAGATTTTTAAATCTGGATAGAAGAGGTCATCCTTTTGTGCTGTTTACGTGTATTTTAATGGTAACAGTATAAATTTTATGTCCTTGAAACTTTGGAATAACTTACAGTTTCATCTTAATTTCATGGATACATAGTCATTTGTTGTGGGCAGTATCTTCAACAAAGAGAAGTGTTGTGGGGGACAGTCTCCTAAGATACTGGTTGTAAATAGGAGTTCTGTATCTGAAATACAATTAAGACTGACTTTGTGAATAGCGTCTAATTATTCCTTTATTAAAGTATAATTGGATTTAAGAGCTGGTTGTTCCTTCCAATTAAAATAGTAATTTATTATTGTAATGTGTTTTTCTAAAGATTTACCAAAAAACCCAGTGCTCTCAAAAAGGGTGTTTGGTTTGGGGAATTTTTGTTTGTTTTTTTAAAAATTATCTGAAACATACACATTCTTACAAATAGTGTATCATTGAGGATAAACTGTTTGTGGGCATTATAACAATCTCAAGCTGAATATGCCCAATATTGGAAGAGGAATGTGCAAATTTTCTCAAAGACCAACAATCATAAATAGTATTTTAAAACATTTCTGCTCTCATGGGTATTTGCAATTTTTACTGAGCAGGCAATTTATAGCAGGTATTATTCTTGTCACTGAATTAAGAGGCTTGACTTCCATCTACTTTTCTGCTTTGAAGTTGTATGCAGGTAAGCACCAATCCCCAGTAGAACTTTAGGTGAAGCTATTTGTGGTGTTTTCTGTAAGGTAGCTCACGTACTTTAACTTACAGACCTGACACTCTCTGGAGGGTTTTTTACGCTGTCCATCTTGGGAAAAAGTTGAAGGTGGCCATATTCAAATGGCCTGGATTTCACAGGGCTTAGCAGGTTTTGCAGGGCTCTCACTTATGGGTTCTGTGGCATGTGCTGGCAGAGAGGGACTGTACAAACGCTCTTGTGGACTGCACACTTCTGAGACTCTATACAGGCACCTACATAACAAATCAGTCTGGCTTTTCTGATGCATTTTCTTCTGAGGTAAACTTCTTGTTAACTGGTCTTGTGTTGTTAAGTACAGTTTCACTGAAGGGTCTGAATACAAGTATTGTGTGTCAAAACACTTCCTTTCTCTAATCAAAGACTATGCATTCACAGATGAGAAAGAAGAAGGAATACTAGGTAGCATACTTCTACCTAGTTTTCAGATATCTGTGCTTTCTCCGGAGGACCATATTAACCGCAAATATGCCTTTAAGGTAAGGAAATAAAATTTTCAGTTTAATTTTATGTCTAATTAGTTTAGTTTCAGTTTAATTTTTATTGTCTAGAAGCACAATAGCCTAGTGAACAGAGATCATTTTACTGAGTTGTTATGCAAAACAGGATTGGAAACAGCTTCTGAGACTGATTTTTGCATAATACAGTAGCAGAGGATTCAAGTATTTAGCCTAATGTAAATATGTATATAGTTACTAAAATAAGAAAATGGATGACTATCACTTATTATTAGTCTTTAATTTTTAGTTCATGGATCTTAAATACTGTGTGGTGCTCTAGAATTGTAAACTGTATCCGCAGCTGGACTTACGCCACTAATGAAAGTTCCTTAGTTATGTAGGTATGAAGTATCTTGACATATAAATAAGAATTAGGTTTTATTATCACTTAAATTACAATATTACATGAATCATTGTTAGCAGTGTTTCACAGCTAATCTTTTTAGTCATTATATAAATCACTCTACTAAATATTTTCTCTTGCCTTTTTTTTTTTGTTTGTTTTATGAGTTCCTTTTGGCTCTTCTTCTGGCCTCCTAAGCAACACGTCATTTATTTACTATGGTAAGTACAAATTAAAACTTACTGTATCATTCAGACTGCAAAAATCTATGCCAAAATCTTATTTGTAATAATTATATTAATTTACATTTATGGGTAGTTAAGATAGTTTTTAATAGATTGAAGAAATTTAAGGGCTTTTTATTGAGTCTATTAATGAAGAAGCTGTTATGGTTGAAAAATATAGGCAATTATTTTGAAAATATGAATGCAGTGAGAGAGAAACGTTGAAGTATTCCTTCTGATATTTTTTCCGATAATATTATTTGCAGAAATCTTATTAAAGAAAACATGAGAGCGAGTATGCAGTAACATTATTTGCCTTTCTTCTTTTACAGAATCTTACATTTTTATTACAATGACCATGTCATTTCCAATCAGGCAGCTCATCCAAACATGAGGACCTATTATTTCTGCACAGATACAGGGAAGGAAATGGAGTTGTGGATGAAAGCCATGACAGATGCAGCACTTGTGCAGACAGAGCCTGTGAAAAGGTAATGTGGGTTTTCAAAAGAGTGGCACAGTGTATTTCTTCCTCATATTTGGCTTGATTTATTTAAATAAAAGGGCATACCTTAAAATAGAATGTAAATTGGCTTAAGTAATTTCTCCTTATATTGAAGAACCCTTACTAATTTAACAATGTTGGATAATATTTTAAAGTAATAAAAATAATCTTAAGTTCCCATTCTGAATATGGATGCCTTGAGAGTCAAGGGCTGGAAGGACAAAAATCTGACCAGTTCCTTTAGCCAGCAGTATCAAAAGAAGTGCAGTGGCAAGTACTGTGTGCAGACATGTTTGAATTCCCCTGGCCTCCTGACTGAACAGCAATAGCAGCTCAACTGGTGGTAGTCTTTGGCTTAAACTTGTCATAAGTCTCAAATTCACAACCATAGTTTCTGGCTAAATTGAACAGTTGCACCTGTAGGCAACCTGTGGGGAGCCATTCTTGTTCATCACTAAGCTGTCATCAAATTTATCCTTCATGTATTTATGGGTTAACAACAAAAAGCAAATTATCACTGGAAGCCTTGTGTTCTCAGAAACTTAATATTGTCTGTTGCTGTCTTTCCAGTAAGAGTCGTTTTCTCTCTGCACATTGTCCTTTGGGTTGGCTCCATGTCATCTGTAATGGAAACCCCATCAGTGGAAAACTTAAAAGCTCATTGTTATTGATGGCACAGAAACTATTGCTGATGGCTGCTGTCACTTGATCTGCTATTGCATTCTCTTAGTTCCCGACAAAGTGGAGCTAAATGAATGGCATCAATGTTGAGAAATTTTAAGTTTAAAAAAAAAAAAAAAGGTAAAAAATTCCATAGAGAAAGATACCAAGAAGGAAAAAGTACATTTTTTGTGGAAGAGGGCAACATTGAATTTGTTGTCAAAATACAAACAGTCTTTCTGAATTTTGCATCACTAGTGCAAGTCATCCCTGTTAACTCATCCCTGAAATTTCTATAATCTCTGCTCCAGTATGATGCTGGCAGAAGCATAAAATGGAGTGCAGAATAATTAGATGCTTTTGATCATACATGTTTTAATGTTTTGTGAGCATCTCAGTCAAACATAGTGAAACTTCTACTTGCACGAATCTATGGGATATTCAGAAGGACAACTGTAAAACTCTGAACAGTTTTAAGTTTGTACCTGTGTAACCGTTTGGTCACTAATCTTAAACAAAAGGTTGAAATCTCAGCTTTCGTCTCTAATATCCCTTAAATACACAGATAATACAGGAAGTATTTAATTCTTTGCACTGGACAGCATAATGAAATAGCTTCATAGAAAAATACATTATTCTCTGTACTATGGAAGAATAACACATGCTTCAAGCTCTCAGCTGTCATGTTTGGTTTTTTCCGAGAATTACTGAAAATAAAAGATTTCAGCTTGTAGAAAGGAGGAGTGGTAGGTCCAATTACCATAACGAAAATGGAACTGATTATGTATTATTTCAGATTATATAGGAAGGTGTTGTATTCTTTGACTCCCGTAACCCTTCTCTTGTTTGGGAACAATAGATGATATGAGGAAGGGATGAGCAGAGTGAGATAGAGCATAAGCAAATAGAAACTTAATAGCATTTTCACCTTTTAATGTCTTTGTTTGGAGCTTTTGAGAGATTGCACTTGAAAGAGTGGTGTTGCCTTGACAAAATAAAATATCACATTTAGCTTAGTGAATAATAAACTTAATCTGAAAAATCAGGTTTGATTCGCATTGTAAGTGTATTGCAGATAGCTGTGGTAGCTTACAGATGGAGAAATGATTAAACCAAATCAGACGCACTCAACTTTAAACAAAAATCATGTATTGATTGTATAAGCACTTCGTAGGGGGAATAATACTGAAGTGGGCCATTCTGAATATCTTTGAACTGGTGAAATTACTTTCATTTGGTGTTTGCAATACTGTGAAGACTGAACATTTGAAGAGGACATCTTTGTAGTACAAAAAAATTTTGAAAAAGTTCATTTCCATCTGTCAGAGCCTCCTTAGTAAGTGTCGTCTTCATAGTCTCTCCCGTAATAGTCGGTGCTCTATAGAAGATATTTGATACGCCTGATTATATGGACAGATGTTACGTTATTACTTGTGACGTATCTTTTAACGTAAGAAGCAATCCAAAATGGTAATGTAAATATCCATTTTCTTGTGCAGTTCACTAGTATAGCTGTACAGTCATGTTTGCTGCCTCAGAGCCTAGCAAGATTCGTGATGAGTGCCCGGCACAGCTTTGCAGGCCTCTCATCCTTCCTAGCCTGCAGTGCCGTGGCTGCTCTCACAAAACAGCTGTGCAGCCCTCTGCTGTGAAGTGTGATCCAGCCTCCCAAAATGCTTGGCCATGCACTCCTACCCCCTTCTTTCAGCCACAGTGCCTGTTCTAGCACCAACATCTGCCTGTTTCAGGTGTTTGGCAGTCTATAGGCAAACAGTGGGAATTCCCAATACAGCTGAGCCTACCTGACACTTTTCATCCAGCTATATGTGCTTCTGCAATCTGCTTTGCATTGCTTCGGGTGCTTATCTTACTCCTTGGTGAATCAGCACACTAAACGAGTAGAAAAGCACTCAGCAGCAAAATCAGTTTTCTGCCTAGATATCATGGGCAAAAAGGGTTTGCCAACAGCCAAAACAAGTGTCAGAAAAGCAACAACAAAAGCAACACCATCTTGTTTGAATTCATGCAAGAAATCCTAGAACGAAGCAGAAGTAGATGTGACCTCTTTGAAAAGTTCGTTAGTAGTCTGAAAATAATTACTTGAGAGAAAATGCATTTCAAGACCAGTGAAGTCACAAAGACTTTTGTGTCTGTTAGCTATAGTAAGGAATAAAATCCTTCAGACATCTGTTTTATAAAGAATTCATCTTTTGGCTATCAAACCAGTCCTTAAAATGAACCATGTAGCAGGATATGATCTTATCCAGAAGAAATACTCTTTCTTCCCTGTAAAAATCTGTTAAGAATTAAGCATTATATTACCTCATCTCTAAGTAACCTAAAGTTTGGCATGCATGTAGCTCTAAGCATAAGTGAGTTTGGTTCAGTCAAATTCAACCAGTGCCTTTGTTTCTCGATTCTATTTTTTCAAGAGGCTCTACGTTGTGCTGAATACAGTTTTCTAACAGACCGGATACTTATGATACAATAGCTAGAGTTATTAAGAACTTAAATACTTATGCAAGCTGATGTTGAGCCACTCTTAAGTGCTTGTTAATATAAAATGCCCAATGATAATGTAAAAACTCTGACTTACAGTTCTTTAAATCTAGAAGTCAAGGTACTTACCGCTTATGATACTCTGGAAATCCAAACCCAACAATCTGTTAAATTGAATGTTTCAGCTTTAAATAATTTCAGAGCTACAATCCATATCTTTATTTTTCTGATGATGTGAGTTCCTTGGAGAGAAAAAAAGATAAAAGAAATATTTAAAACATTAAGTTGTCGGGTTTTTTTCCCAGTTTTCCATAAAATATTCTTACGTTCCTCATATAGTTAGCAACATAGTACAGAAATGAGATACTGAGGTGAGAAAATAAAAATGTACCCATGTATTTTAGAACTGATCTGCAGTCGCAGCAGAAAAGCTCCCTTCTGATGTATAACTGCAGGGAAGGACAAATACCATTTGGTCTTATTGACTTAACTGTAATTACTGCATTCTAAAAATTTTTGGTTTAATTTTACCTGGATAATAAATTCAAGTTTAATAATGTACTGAGACACCTATCAAAATAATTAAACACAAATACTTCAGTCAGCAAGGAAGTATTTAAGCTTATGACTCAAAATATGATATCAAACAACCTCTCTGGATTAGCAAAACACCTTACTCATTCCATGTTGTATCACTGCAGACCACAGTTAAGTTGTACCTATGAGTACGGATGGCTTGCTTGTGTTTGTAGATGCTAATGTCCACCAACATGACTTATCATTTTTCCCCCAAATGATGATTTCTCTACTCTCCCATGTTTAAGAGCATCATTTTTCTGCCCTTTCACTGTCAGCTGTGTGTGCCAGAGCCTTTGTTTCTTCTGAGTGATGCAGCATGTACCAAGAGTGGGTTTTCTTCCTTCATGTGTAGTTACTCTCTCTGAACAGCATAAGCTAAGCTGCCAAAAAAGCACTTGTTAGCATAACAACATCGATGGAGGGGGGTTACTGACATCACGGTATTTGGAAAAGATGGCTTTTTCTTTTCAAATGCCTCTGCCTGGCTTTGTTAAAATCAGTCTTCATGTCTGTCTGATACTTGATTGCACACACACACCCCTTTAAGAATTATTTACTTATGTAAAACAGCAGAAAATAGTACTTTTCCTGTATTACTGTTCCGTACATATTATTCCTGTTTTGTTGTAGAAACCTATAAATTGCATTCAGTATATGCTGAAATATGTATGTTCAATGTTCATTCTTTTTTGTCTTCTCCCCCTCCCACCCTCAAAATACCCTGCAAGTCTTGTTGCATATGTCTTTGAGAGCCAGATACAAATACGGAGCCAAATATAAATGTGGATTTATGTTTCTTACATTTACCTATTAGTTTCTCATAGTTCTTTCCCATTTGGATCCTTTGCTGTGGAAAGAGATCTCTTGTTTACACAGAGTTGACTGATTTGATGCACAAAGTTAAAGGAGAGCCTGTAAGTCTGTTTGAATGCCAGTCATTCAGCCTCTACACCATCGCAAAGAATGTCAAATATAAATGCTTGGCTCTGCTGCATATAACCATAGTAACAAGTGATACAGCAGAGAGATTGCATAGGAAAACAAATCTGTGATTTTGAGGTTTGTTGTCTTTTAATTAAGATCGACAGTGGAGAGGACTATGATAGTGTGAATCGAACAGTGTGCCAAGTCTTGACTTTGCCACCTATCTGATGAATGTCCTCGGAGATGCCACTCTCCCTCTGCACCACAGATTTTCCATCTGTAAAATGGCAACTGCTTCCCTGCTGTAAAGCACCTTGAGAAAGACTGATATCAAGTGCTGTCTATGTAAGGGGATAGGTGGTACTATTAAGGAATGTTGCATATATTAATGCCCATGTTTAGGATTATTTGCAAGGTGGTCCTTACATTTATTTGTAATATCTTGAGCGCTGGCTGAAAACTAAAATTGTAACACCCTTTTTAGACTTGATAATTGTGGAAAATGGAGGTTTTCATCCACTTTCCTGTTTGGAGAATTCGTTTAGTTTGTGGTAGAACACTGAGTAGTTTGGAGGTGGGAGGGAGGAGGTGATCCATTTTTTTTCCATAACCTTGAGAAGGAACGTAGGCTGAAATATTTGGTCTTAAGAACACTTTAAAGTCTTTGGGGGAAAAAATAAAAAGAAAACACCTCACTTTTTAATCGCAGTGGAAGATTAGCATAGCATTTCTTTGCTGATACTTGGAAATAATAGAAAAGATAGCATAGGTATAGAAGTTCTACCACATGTGTCCTCCCCCACAAAAGTCTACATACGAGATTTTTTTTTTTTCTCTGAAAGGTATGGTTGGCAGAAACATTACCCTCTCCTTTCTGGTAGCAGAAAACATCAGATATATCTAATCTCTGCATTTAATAGTGCTGTATGAGAAAAAACCACTGTGTTTAACAGTAGTGCTGCATATAGCCAAAGTTATGTTCATGTTAGATTACTGGTATGAATATTTTAATTCGGAATATATTTGACGTGTGTGTATGCTTTCACATCGGCAGCTCAGGAATAATCACTGAAAGAAAAGGACTATTTTGAGCTATTTCTATTAATTTTGGAGGACTTTCATAACATTATGAAGTATCAAGCAGAAATTAGGATCATCACAGCTATGTCAGGAAGAGGCATGGGGGGAAAAAACCACACCCCTTTTTAACATGCAAGGTGCATGAGCATTTCATTCAAACTCATGTACAGTATGCAGAGGACATTGATGTCTTGCTGTTTCTGACCGATACATTTGTGTACCTGTCAAGGCAGGAGTCTCTTGATTCCTTTCACACCATGGAGAATTCATAGCACGAGTAGGGTGGTAATGGGAGGTGCATTTAAAATTAAGTGTCCAGTATTATTAGCAGTGGATAGTATTTTATAAGTACCTTACAATTTTCAGTCCTTTATGTATTTTCTGGGGTTCTGTCCCAAATGGCCTGTTGGGAATTCATGGCTTAAGTAGGGGAAGTGTAGACTCGTTGGAAATTTAAGCCTCATGTTAAAGACGGGGTAAGCAAAAATGCTTACAGCTATGTGCGTAGTTACTCTACTTGGAA